AAACGTGGTGAGGCAGGAGGGGGATGCCTGTGGGCAGCTGCAGTTGCACTGGTGTTCACACTGTGGGTGCTTTGGAGTCATGGCTCAAGATAACAGATAAAACCCTTGGTACTTCAGGAACATCCATTTAATGATGGTGACAGGTTTTAGCCTTAATGTACATTGCAGCCTGTGCATCACTCATGCTGCTACACTGTCACCTTGAAATCTTGCCTGGTGACGTGGCTCATAGAGAGATCTTTGCAGACTGCAGGAGCCTAATGGTGTCCAGACATGGCTTGTTGGGAATTAATTGCATTCAATCTGACATGTCTCTCTTGGCTGGCAGCACCTTCACATGCCGTATCACCCAGCCGGTGGGCTGGAAACCTGCTGTCCCCGAGACAGTGTAATCACACAGGAAGGACTTTATTACTCAGGGCTGTCTTGTACTACTTTAATGTCACAATATGTCTGTTGCAACAGCGTGCCAGATGAAAGTGTACTTGCCTGGTGTCACAGCCTTTTATCATCCCCTCAAATCTACCCTGCTTTTACTCAGTGAACCAGCATGTCTAAGAGCTAAGATGTTCTAGGTCAGTGGTTCAAATCCTGCTTCCTGCTCTTGTGAGCTAGTAGCAACATGCTGCTGGTGTCTGTCCATAGCAGAGTATTACAGGACCTGTGGTTCATGATCCTCCTCACTATCCTGTGGTTCACCGGTCCCTGAGTGTCTGCAGAGAGCACCAAGTGGCAATAACAAGAATCACCCTATGTGAGAAACACACTTTGTACGGCTTTCAAAAGAGGATTTCATGGTAAAAGGGCATAACTGCCTAAGTCCCTTTCCTTGAGTGGGATAAGTACATGATACATTTATATGTGTCTGCCCTTCCAGACCAGAAAGCGTCAGGGATTCTTACCATCTAACTGGCAAAGTCATAGAATCATAGAATCATAGAATGGTTAGGGTTGGAAAGGACCTGAAGATCATCAAGTTCCAACCCCCTGCCATGGGCAGGGACACCTCGCTCTAAACCATATCACCCAAGGCCTCATCCAACCTGGACTTGAACACTGCCAGGGGATGGAGCATTCACAACCTCTTTGGGCCACCTATTCCAGTGCCTCACTACCCAAACAGGAAAGAATTTCCTCCTTATATCCAATCTAAACTTCCCCTCTTTAAGTTTTAACCCATTACCCCTTGTCCTATCACTACAGTCCCTAATGAAGAGTCCCTCCCCAGCATCCCTATAGGCCCCCTTCAGATACTGGAAGGCTGCTATGAGGTCTCCACGCAGCCTTCTCTTCTCCAGGCTCAACAGCCCAAACTTTCTCAGCCTATCTTCATATGGGAGGTGCTCCAGTCCCCTGATCATCCTCATGGCCCTCCTCTGGACTTGTTCCAACAGTTCCATGTCCTTTTTATGTTGAGGACACCAGAAATGCACACAATACTCCAAGTGAGGTCTCACGAGAGCAGAGTAGAGGGGCAGGATCACCTCCTTCGACCTGCTGGTCATGCTCCTTTTGATGCAGCCCAGGATACAGTTGCCTTTCTGGGCTTCAAGCGCACACTGGAGCTTGCTCATGTTCATTTTCTCATCGACCAGCACCCCCAAGTACTTCTCCGCAGGGCTGCTCTGAATCTCTTCTCTGCCCAACCTGTAGCTGTGCCTGGGATTGCTCCAACCCAGGTGTAGGACCTTGCACTTGGCATGGTTAAACTTCATGAGGTTGGCATCAGCCCACCTCACAAGCGTGTCAAGGTCCCTCTGGATGGCATTCCTTCCCTCCAGCGTATCAACCGAACCACACAGCTTGGTGTCATCGGCAAACTTGCTGAGGGTGCACTCAATCCCACTGTCCATGTCAGCGACGAAGATGTTGAACAAGACCGGTCCCAACACCAATCCCTGAGGGACACCACTCGTTACTGGTCTCCAGCCAGACATTGAGCCATTGACCACAACTCTTTGCATGTGGCCATCCAGCCAGTTCTTTATCCACCGAGTGGTCCATTCATCAAATTGATGTCTCTCCAATTTAGAGACAAGAATGTCGTGTGGGACAGTGTTGAACGCTTTACACAAGTCCAGGTAGATGACATCAACTGCTCTACCCCTGTCTCTCCGTTCTGTAGCCCCATCATAAAAGGCCACCAAATTGGTCAGGCAGGATTTCCCCTTAGTGAAGCCATGCTGGCTGTCACCAAGCACCTTGTTGTTTTTCATGTGCCTTAGCATGCCTTCCAGGAGAATCTGCTCCAAGATTTTGCCAGGCACAGAGGTGAGACTGACTGGTCTGTAATTCCCCGGGTCATCCATTTTCCCCTTCTTGAAAATGGGGGTTATATTTCCCTTTTTCCAGTCCTTGGGAACTTCACCTGACTGCCATGATTTTTCAAATATGATGGCCAGCGGCTTAGCAACTTCATTCGCCAGCTCCTTCAGGACCCACGGATGGATTTCATCAGGACCCATGGACTTGTGCACGTTCAGATTTTTAAGATGGTCTCGAACCAATTCCTCTCCTACAGTGGGCCCAAGGTCTCCATTCTCACAGTCCCTGCGTCTGCCTTCCAAGACTTGGGTGGTGCGGTCAGAGCCTTTGCTAGAGAAGACCGAGGCAAAGAAGTCATTCAGAACCTCAGCCTTCTCCAAATCCTGTGTAGCTAGTTCACCTGAGAGCTTCCTGAGGGGGCCTGCATTCTCCCTAATCTGTTTTTTATTTGCTATGTACCTGTAGAATCCCTTCCTGTTATCCCTAATATCCCTAGCCAAGTTTAATTCTAACTGGGCCTTAGCTTTCCTAACCTGGTCCCTAGCTTCCCAGACAACATCCCTGTACTCTTCCCAGGCCGCCTGTCCTTGCTTCCACTTTCTAGAAAACTCTTTTTTCATTTGAATTTTCCTCAGGAGCTCCTTATCCATCCAAGGAGGTCTCCTGGCCCTCCTGCTGCACTTCCTTCTGGTTGGGATGCAACACTCCTGAGCTTGTAGCAGGTTGTATGTAAAGTGTTGTATTTTAATGAGAACTGAGACATTTTATTAGAATTTTCTGTTCATTCCTCTTTTCTCCCACCTATCCCCCCCCAGGCATCACCTCTTCTGGCCACTTTCAGTGCCTTGACACCAAGGCTGGATCTCAGAGACTGAAGTTTCCCTGCAGCATCATGACACAAAGCAGCAGGGTGAGGAGAGGGAAAGGCTGCAGCGTGAAACATCCCTTATTCCACACCAGAGCATTCACGTAGGAGAGAAACTGCATGAATTCCCCTGAGGCAGGATGAGCACCCATAGAGCTCAGCCCACACGTTTTTTGTGCGACTGATCTCTGAAAGCAGAAATTCCCTGAAGCGATATATGGGTGCACTCCCTGGGCTGTAGCAGGTGTCTAGGATGCTGAATATCTCCTTCCCCCATCAGCATGTTAGTCTGGTGTATGAGAACATGCCTTAGCCCACACAGAGGTGTTGGTTGCGCATAAAGTAAATTCATGATTCTGCCCCTGGCTGAATGTGGGATGTTGGATACATCGTGTCCCTGAACTTCTGTGGGCACTTAAATGCCTTTCACCTGTCTTACCCCCTTGGCTGGGATCCCTCTCACTTGACTACATGCATTTAATAGCTGAGCAGCTTCCCTAAGGTAATCCATGAAGGTCTGTCTACAGGCACATGAAAGACACAGTCAGCTCCAGCAGGATCTTCTGGATGAGTACACAGTGAATCACTCTCTGGAGGTGTTGATTTTTTGTGCTGACTGCAGAAAAGGCTCAGGTGAGTAGCTAGGACTCTATTCTGCTGACCTAAGCAGCCACGTATGGAGCACCAGACCCAACTTTTCTCACGTGTTTGGACAGCATCCATACATTTGGACAATGGGAACTTGGTCTCAGCAGGGAGTCTGCGTACATCAACAATGGATGCAATTATAGGGAATAAACATGGGAATATATACTCTGAAAAAGAAAGCTTTCCTCACAGCACCACTGTGAAAAATAGCAGAACAGAAAGAAACTAACTCTGTTTCACCTAATTGCTTTTCATAAATCATCTCTTGGCAGCCAGCTCGACTGGTCTACCAAAGGGCCAATTAAAGCAGAGCTGTTTGGACTCAGGGCTGTGTTTTGTATTACAGGAACTGTAATTTGTTCCAAGAGGGTGGCATCTTTTCCCTTTTCAAGCAGAGAGGAATATCCATGCCTGTCTGTCTCTGAGCCTTGATGTTATTCCTTCAAAGCATCCATGGCGCATTGACTGGTGTCCTCTCCAGCACAGTGTTTTACTGCATAGTGTGAGATATGATGCTGCGGGTAAAAGCGATGTAGAGGAAGAAGCACGGTGACAGACGAACGATGTTATGAAACCTGGACACCCGTGGCAAGTATCTATGTATTTGTTTTAAAACCCCAGGTTGCAATGCACACAGAACTCCTTCAATGTGCAGACCATTAAAATCCCTCCTCAGTGTAGCATTTTCTGCCACTTTCCCTGCTGCTCAGTACACGTCCTGCTCCAAGCTCTCCCCACTAGCTACCACCACCCCTCCTGCACACACCAGCCCTTACCCCACAGCCAGACCCCTACCGGGAGAGCAGCCCTGGCCATGGCCACCTCTCAGCCCTGCTGTCCCTCCTCATGTCACCCGATGGGACAACACCATCCCTGCTGCCGGTAACACCGCGCTGCTGCCCTACCTGTGAGAAGCTCAAGCAGAGGATACTCCCTGCCGTGTGGCTCTGGTTGCTCTCCTGGGGCTTGACATTACCGCACAATTCAAGGGCTGGGCGCTGCGTACCCTGAAGCCATCCCAACCTGGTGGCACCACGCACGCCCTTTCCATCCGGGCGGGCGCATTGGCTCTGCCCCAGGACAGGACAGGGCACCACCACGCCGCTCCCATTCCAACCGTGACCAGGGCCAGCCGCTTTCCCTCTCTGTTTGCTTTCAGGGTGGTTGTCTCTGCTGCTGTTCAGGGCACTGCAGTCCAAACAGGTGCAACGGAGGAGGGCTGGAGGACGCTGCCAGCTCCCCATAGCACACTCTTTTCCTCTGCCCTTTATTTCACAAGACACTAGAGGTTTTATTGCTCCCTTTTCTTTTTCTGCCTGCTCCTGCCAAGCCTTGGCTCCCTGGGATCTCTCTGGCAGGTGGGAAGGAGCCATGCCCTACCTGTACCGGGACTTGAAGCCGAGGTCGCCGGCACTGCCTGGTGCTGCACGTGCCACACACAGCTCGGGGAAGGCCTATGAGGAGCTGAAGCAGGAGTGCCTGCGCAGGGGAGTCCTCTTTGAGGATCCCGACTTTCCTGCCTGCAACTCCTCTCTCTTCTTCAGTGAAAAGCCACCTATTCCCTTCATCTGGAAGAGGCCCGGGGTGAGTATGACATTGCGCTCTCGCCTTTCATACTGCCAAAAGTCAGAGCCTGCTGTGCTCTGGGATTGCACCAAACCATGGCGTGTTCAAGGAGATGAAGTGCAGGGAAGAGACTTCCCATCTCAGGGGAAGTGGTGTGGTGTTGGGATGTCACCCACAGATTGCTCAAGCTGTGGGATGAGAGCGCTGGAAGGGTTCACACCACGTCTTAAATGTAGCTCATTGTACAGTCACACTCTATGGATGTGTATTTACGTATGTGCTCAAACAACTGGTAATCACCCTTCTCTGTTACATGACTGCCAAACAGCTAAGATGAAAATAAGAGGACGTGCAAGGAATTAAGGGTAAAATACATCATGATGCTGCTCTAACTGTGTGAAAATCAAGTGCTCTTAATGTAGGAAACTCGTAATTAAGGTTAAACTTAAAAAATTCAAACCTTTCAACTTTCAGAGTATGAGACTCTTATACTTCCTCTCTTCCATCATGAGACTTTGAGAGATTACAGATACATGCCATGGTTACTGAGCCATTCAGTAGTAGCCAAGGGCTTGAAAAGTATCTCTTAATGCATCTTGCATAACAACCATTAATGACACAGCGAGAGCCTGAAGCTTCAATAGTCACATGCTCTCAGATCACAAACCCAACATCACTCCAGGTTCCTTCTCCCCACTTAACTCTGTAACTAATAGCCACAGAAAATCTGTGGCTACGTTTAATTTCATTTCTTTGCTAATGACTGACATTTATTCTCTTTTTCTTCATAGTCTGAAAGCTTCTCTCTCCCTTAGTAGAAAACTTTCCTTTGGCGACACTGGGAGAAAAAGAACCAACGGAGAAAAAGAACAAAATACACTTAAAGAAGGGTTTAAATTTTGGCTTAACTTAATCTGCTGTGACAGGCGTTCAAATGCCTCTGATGATAGTTAACATAGTGCCACTGCAGAGCACAATTAAACCCGTTCTCCTGGAAAAGTTTCAGCTATGAAAAATAGGAGAGCTGTACACATGGCAAGTGCAGCCCCTGCAGGCACTGCTGCCTGCCTTCCCTACCTGTGGCACAAAAGCTAGGATGGCTGTGGGGCTGGTTCCCAGCACAGGATGGGACTGTGGGGCTGAAATACTTTTGGTGTGGTGTCTCTGGAGTGCTGTGGGGCATAAGAAATGCAAGTGCCTGCAACATCAAATCAGAAAGAATGTTTTTCCTTGGGCTAGCAGTTAGGTCCTAGTTTGTCTTTTTTTCCATTTGGGTTTCACAACAGTTGAACTTGTGACCAGGGGCAGCTGAGAGCTTGTGTGTCCTTGTGCGTGGTACCCAGGGACAGCGATCTGTCTGTTGTAGCTGTTGCAGTCTTCTTTGTGATCTTTGTACATTGAACTGGAAACATTTACAGAATAAACTGCCTGAAACGGGATTTGACTTTACACTCCAATTCCCACATACAGGAAAGTGAACTTCAGTGAGCCGCACAGCAAGAAATAAAGCTCAGAGGAGTCTTAGAGGATGTGTAAGGACAGGGTTTTAGTTATGCTCTTCTCTGGCTCCTCAGCATTTCAGCTATGTCACTTTCATCTCTATTATCCATCAGGAACAGCACTAACATAGAGGCACTGCAACACCATTTCAAGGTAACCCATTTTACTCTACAAGTGGGATATAGACCTGGAGCATGACCTATATTAGCTGCCACAGCTGAGCTGGCAAGGCTGTGGTGCTGGAGATAGTGAGCACAAGATCACAGCCCCTGTGTAGGGCACCTGCATTCAAACTGCTTTTCACAGTGACTGGTTTTTACCACCTCTCCTAACAGTAGTTTACAATAGCTTGGATGAAGTGTAGCACAATACATGTGGGTAATTGCAGGGTAACATTAGTCTTCAGATTTACACTCTGCTAGAGTTTAATCTTTAGTAATGAGAATAGAAAAGGCTTTCTTGTTATTTTGACATGCATATACCTGCATGTCTACACGTTTGTACACACTGTGAACAAGACCCTCAGATAGCTCTAATCTGTAAACCTCCTACTGCAATCAGTGAGCTACATGGATCTCCACCAAATGAATGTCTCACTTCCTACATAAATCTGAAGTGTGCTAAGATTCAGAAAGCGATTGTCTTTAGCAATCCCTTTTCATTACAAATAAAACCTTTGAAACTCTAACTTAGAACAATCCAAAGAAGAGAAGACCCTTTTCTCATTGTGTTTTCCCCTTTTTCCTTTCCTTTTTCCTTTCCTTTCCTTTCTTTCATTTCCTTTCTTTATCTAAATTCAACTGCTGGGATAAATTCAACAGTTTAGTGTCTAGGAACATCAGACACATAAGCTGAAGAATGAGAAAAAGAAAACAAAAACAAAAAAAGGAAAGACGAAAGTGTTTTATCAATGCCAAACAAACCTATGGTCTGCAGAAGGAAATTCTCCTAGTAAGAACAGCCACTGGCAACTGGTGTAATCACAAATAGAAATAAGGTCACCTAAATAGCCTCACCCTCAGCCTGTCGTAGGTCTCCATTTACCCTATCTACCAATGTGAGACAGGTGCAGGGGCTGCAGTTTGTTTTCTTTTGAGTCTAAAGAAACACAGCTTTGATGTAGCATCAGGAGAGTTACAGGTCACCTCGTTTCATCTTTGTGAGGACTGCATGTCCCCACTTGTAGGTAATAACCTTGCACAGGCAAATCCATGAATTTTTGTTTTGCATGCTGTTTGTGAATGCAAGATCCACCTTTGGGGTTTGTCCCTTAGTATGCTAAAGCCCTGATACACATACTTACACCATCCAGTCTGAAAATCCCCTTGAAATCAATATTATTTTTGCAATGTGGTTTTGTTTCGTGTAGCAGAGAAGGTGGCACAGGCCCAGCCAAAATCCTTTCTATCCCTTTCTATTGATATTTTTACTTTTGTTTTTTTGCTTTGATTTAAGAGATTGAAAATATTTTTCCATGTCAGTTGCAGAGCTGTGTAATAAGCAATGAGCCATGAATCTGATGTTCATACTCATGTCAGTGGAAAGGTTTTTTATCGTGTCCCTTGCTAACGCATGGAGTTTCCTGGTAACAGCTAAATACATTTCTTGTCATGAGAATTATGTTCCCCAGGAGCAATGGTGCTAAACCAAGGCATGTTATTGAAGATCAGCTACCTGATCAGCTGTTGTTATATTGATGTGTAAAGGCAATGAGCTGTGTTTTTATTGTTCACATCCACTCCCAACAATATGGAGTGTATTTAACAAGCAGGTGGGTCAGGTAAGGAGGGGCTGCTGTTTGATTTCCCTTTGCTCCACACGCTGGTGACAGGGTGTGCTGTGTTACCTGCCCCCTGGGTTACTGGTGGCTGAGGCACAACCTGGCCACCACTTCCTCCCCAGCATAGGCAAACAAAACCATATGCAAACCAGCTTCCTCCTGAATATTGCCTGTGCAGGGTGAGCTTCACAGGAGCAGCGCTGGTTCACTAAGTGCAGGAAGCACAACAGAACTATCAATATCCTGCCCTGACACCCACACAAAATACAGTGATATGATCCAAAAGCAACCCAGTTTCCTTCTAGGCAAATGCAGAGGTTAAATGCCTGAATGTGTTGTTCTATTTTGCCTCTCTTTAATTTTATTCTGGTTTTTTGTAAGCTTCTGTCACTTAGGCAAAAGGTTCTGCTTCATGCCATAGGGTCTGCAACAACATATCAGGGCAGACACATTAACTACAGGCATAGCAGCTAATGTAGGTATTAGTATCTAATAGTAATATATTAGATACCCTCTCCTCCCTTTTCTATTCAGCTCAATCAAATTCATTTTACAGTTCATGGGAAAAAAAGCAAAGACAGGTGAATTCCTGCCACATTTAGTGGTTTGCCACTCTAGTTTTTCTATGCAGCTGTGGTGCTAGTAGTTTAACTAGAACAGTGAATGCGTGAGAATTGCTTTCATGCCCCTGTGAGCAACAGTCCCTCTGAGCACACAAGGGTGGGTAGTGTTAGCTCTTCTATAAAACAAACAAGGCTGGACTCTGCCTTTGTTGTTTGCTTGTCTGAGGAGGAAATGGTCTCGTGGTTGTCAGACACTGTGTGTTCCAGGTACCATGTGCAGGTAAAGAAAAGGCTTTACCTTGGCATTTAAAAGTTAATTGACAATTTTGATTTTTCCAGACACTGTGGGGGGAAAAAAACACAAACAAAAAGCCATTAACCAGGGTTTTAGTCTAACAGTGAGATTCTGGACCTGGTTGTGCTATGATACTTGAACAATTGCCTACAGATGGATAGAGAACTCTGGCCTTTCATTAACAGCTGACTAAATAGAAAAAAATGAAGATATTTGATTCTTTGATTGCTTCACACTGTAATTAATTGTCAAGGATTCCCCACCTAGATTTTTGTGGTGGCTACACCTCTGCAGGATAATATGGCCCATGGGGCACATACAGCATGCTGCACATCTGGGCTCAGAGCGTTAGCGATGGTTTCCTGGCATGTTCCAAGTAATTTCTGTGTCTCTCTCTCCCTTTCTCACAGGACATTGTCAAAGACCCCAAGTTTATCCTTGGAGGAGCCACAAGAACAGACATTTGTCAAGGGGATCTTGGTGAGTGATTCTCCCTGGGCTGATGCAGTCCTGCCAACACCCCATGAGCAGCATCAGGAATATCTTTACACATTGAGAGGACGTTGTCCCTCCTGAACTGGTGGGAGCAGTGAAAGTGGAGGTGAGCCATGCTCATCTTGCCTGCAGCCATCTTTTTTGGTAGCACCCTTCCATCCATGCCAGGGACCATCCTGGTGCAGTGGGATTCAAGATCAGGGAAGGATCTCCATGTGAGGGTACTGTGAGCCCAAGGGAGCTCTTGTCTACCAGCACCTCCAAACTGCAGCAGTCTGCCCTGGTGAGACAGGGACACACTTCCTGAGGACATACAGGTGTATTTTGTATTTCAAGAGGGGTAGAAGCTAATTTCCGTAACATCTTCTCTAGGCCCTAACCCACCTTTTCTCCTCTTGAAGGGAAGAAAGTGAGGAGTTTTTTACCTTTTCTCAATTCACAGGTGACTGCTGGCTATTGGCAGCCATAGCTTCTCTCACACTGAATGAAAAAACACTATCAAGAGTGGTGCCATTGGATCAAAATTTTGGGCCAGATTATGCTGGAATATTTCACTTCCAGGTAAGATAAACACATCCCGTAACATGGCACAGCACAAGCACTTTTCTGTCATCATATTTCATGGTCTATTTTGCAGTGGGGTTGCCAGTTATTGCAGAGGAGAAATAGAAAAAAAACCATGGATTGCTGAGCTTACACTGTTCATGTTTGAGAAACAACGTAGTGGGCTATGTCAGCCTCCCACAGGCATGCCATTTCTGCTCTGTGGAGAGATGTATGGCCTTAGATATTATGTCACATTTTCCTTGGCACACAAACTCCACTTAGGATGTAAGGAATTGTAGTGGAATACGTAATACATGTGTGTCTCAGAGGTGACTTGAATCATGTGGTGACCACTTGTGTAGCTGCATAAGTAACATTATCCAGACAAGGAGCTACAGTACAGCTCTGCACTTTTAGTCTTTTCTTAAGATATATTACCCTTCTTTCAGAGCAGTCTAATATGTTACAGTGGGAATGAATGGTTTACATATGACTTCTAATCAAGCCTATGACTTGCAACTAGAAGTGCTGGGACACCAGAGTCCTGCGCTCAGGAAATGACATGCTGTCAGCAAACTCATGCCCCATACTTTCTTAACAGTTTTGGCAGCACAACGAGTGGCTGGATGTCGTGATTGATGACAGATTACCCACCTTCAATGGCGGGTTGGTTTTCTTGCACTCAGCTGAACGCAATGAATTTTGGAGTGCCTTACTAGAGAAAGCCTATGCCAAGTAAGTCATTGCAGATGCATAAATTCCCTATTTGTACATAACACAATGTGTATATAGCACAGTGTGTGCATACATTATTCACAGCTCCAGCGAACAGCTTCTATCCAGTATTTTTTGGTGGCAGTGAAGTGTTTTTTGCATTTGCTGTTGCCCTGAGCCAAAGATGTTATGCCTATCTCTTGTGAGTTGGTCCAGCTTCCAGCACATCATTAGATAAACCCCTAGCTGATAGCAACAGAGTTGCATCAAAGCCTGAATCCTGACATTTGTGTCTCTGCTCAAACCTCAGTTGATGGTTCTGCCTTTCTAAATGCTTTGGCAGGTAGCAAGCCACTGACACACAGTGGTGTTCAGTCCTTGCCAACCTGACAACGGGCACTAAAGAAAGAAAAACCCCAGGCTTTAGGGATATAGAGAAATGAATGAATTAAAAATGAAATTAACAAAGAAAGCAGAATGATCCCAATACTCCTCCCATTTATCCTGGGTGCATTCTGGGATGCTTCTTTTGACTTCAGTACCATTGCTGCAATTTTATGCCCATGTGAGAAAGCTCTCAAACATGGGTTTCTTCAAAGGTTTGAAAACATGTCTCATGGTCAGCATGTGTTTTGCAGGCTGAACGGCAGCTACGAGGTTCTGAAAGGAGGCAGCACAATAGAAGCCATGGAGGATTTCACTGGGGGCGTAGGAGAAATGTATGAGGTTAAAAAGGCTCCTGACAATTTCTATGAAATCCTAGCGAAAGCTCTGAAAAGATGCTCCATGGTGGGCTGCTCCATTGATGTAAGTAAGAAACAGGGTCTGAATTTCTCTGTTTCAGTGCTGAAAATAATTAATTTAAGACAGTAGGTGGATATGCACTTAACTTTGCAGATAATAGCTATGAACTGATTGGATATGTAGTATTAAGGTAGCCTTTCTTACAGTTGTTTAAAAGACAAGGAGAAGATTTATCACTTTTCAGGAGGTGATGGCCGCTGTATTTAAGGCAATAATGACATGAGTACGAGCACTTGCTGAGAGTGAACTTGATTTCTCGACTTACATGGTTGCTTGGCATTAACATTGGCCATAGCTTTTTGAGGACTTACTGGTTCCAGAGACTACAAAATAGGGCTTTTTTTTTTCAGCCCTGAATTCTGCCATCGCTGCTCCATCAATATCTTTTCAGAAGAAATGAGACCATATCACACCTGACCTCAGCCTGAGAGCAGCTGTCCTGCTGCATTCCTTAGCTAACATAAACTACGTTTGAATGGGAGTTAAGATTGAGATCCAGAAACACAGATGATGTTGATACAAAATCCCAGGGGCGGAGAAGGTGTTTTAGGCTGGAACCGCCTCATTTTCCTTATGTGTGAACAATGCTTAAAAAAACAAAAATTGAAAAATCCTTTCCTCAGGGGTTCAAAGGGCACCATTGCACCATCACTGCCTGCACTGAGCACACAGCCAAGTTGTCTTCTCAGACTACTGGTTAGCCACTGAGCTCCCACCTGATGCTTGAAGGGGACCAATTTGCACCACTTGCAATCTCACTCTGAAAAGAGAGATTCACACCTTTTTTCTGTATTTCAGACCAGCAGTGCTGCCGAGTCAGAAGCCAAAACCCCCTTTGGCCTTATAAAGGGCCACGCTTACTCTGTGACTGGCATTGATGAGGTACGTGCAGCAGTGCAAAGGAGAAAGATAAGGGAATGTTCCTGGACCTCAGGTGGCAGGGGCAGTTATCCTCAGGCTTTATCCAACTTCTCATCAACCTTTCCCTCCCACATCTCCTGTAGCAGCCTGCGCCTTTTGCCTGCCTGTTATACCAGCTTGCCCAGCCTCTGCTCACAGGAGAAGTCCTGCTCCCTAGCTACTGACACTTGATATTTTCTCTATTTCTTTCTTCCCCAGGTGAGCTATCGGGGCCGGCAAGTGCAGCTCATAAGGATAAGGAACCCCTGGGGACAGGTCGAGTGGAATGGCCCCTGGAGTGACAAGTGCGTGAGCTGTCCCATACATGCTTGCCTCACAAGGGGTAACCCTAACCAAATCCCAGCTACTGCTTCACAGCTGCCTTTCTGCAGCCCCAGCTATTCCACAGGAAATTAAATCAAGAGTTTGCATGTGCATACCAGTGTTACTGCCTTACTAACATGTCACCCCTGGTGTTTTCAGAGCTGCCCATGTTTGGGGACACTAAAGTTGTTTAGCCACCAAAATCTAGCATTAGCAAAAAATATTCATTAATACTGAATGATGGGGTAAGTTAATTTTTATAATGAGATAAGTTAATTTTAAGACACTACTAATGGGAAAAATAATACATTTAGAGTGAATTTTCTTTTGATTTTTACAAGGCTGTTGCTGTAGTACTTGTAACGCAACATCCGTACTTTGTCCTCCTGCAGATAAGCTGGAAATTGGTATTGTATTACCCCCTCTAAGTAGCTTATGAATCTCTGGTTGTATTTATTGATCTTGGTTTCTAAACACATTAGGGATATGCAGGAACCTTACAGGTTATATATGACCGTTCAATGAGATCCTCTCAATGTGGTACCTACCAAAGATGTGAAAGAACCCAAAAGCACAATAGGATGGGGCTGAAAACCAGTCTGATTTTACTACCAAATGTAAACAAAGTGCAGATAATGGAAAAGAAAAAAAGTATAATAAAAACCAACACTGCATTCTCCCCCAGCGTACACTTTCGGTGTATTTTTGCACATACATACAGCTTCATTTCTGTTTCACTTTTACCATGTTTTTTGTATTCATATAGATGTAGAGGACAGAAACCATAACCTGCCTGGCCCTTTAAAATTGCTGAGACACAAAGTCATCTGCAGGGTTACTTTGAATGACTCTGTCCTTCACATGACTCAGAAATAAACGAAATGTTTCCACATCAGCTCTGATCCTTCATTATCTTGAAAAAGAAAAATGTGGATAATTGGCATATATAACGAGTGATTAAATCTCAGAATATTGAGAGGTTAAGATCAGGACAGGCATCTGGCGATTCCTGCTGTTTATTGAAAAAGGCTGTGCAAAGCAGACCTCTGATTCTGCACTTGGTAGGTTTGCTGGAAGTCAGGGTGCAGAGGGGCTCACAGGTCAATACAAGAATCTGTAATAACATTTTGCAGTGGTTGCTGGAATTAAAAACCTCAACACAAGAGGCCTGCTACTGCCTGTTTATTGTGTCAGGTTGGAAATGTGGCAGGGCATTTTGGTTTTCCAAAAAGCTTTGTCGGGTTTTTGTTTGGTTTCGATCTGCCACAGCTGAAGTTGTAGATGTGGATGAAAAGAAGGCAAATACTTTACCTGGAACCCCAGTGACTCCAGCAAATCTTTCTGTATGAGGAAGGAGCCTATTCAGTTCCTATTGACTCAGTTTTGAGGAAACATCTGGCCCTGAATTATTGACAAACATAAAGCAGGAGATGGGGCTGCAGATGGAAAACAGATTTAAGGAGAGGTGTGACTTACCAAAATCGTGATGTTTACCAATAGCCCTATTATACCCAACTCCATTACTTGACAGCAGTCCCAACTCTGACTGCAGGCAATAACTCACACAGGACCATCCCACAGCAGCTTCGGAATCTTTGGTCCTGCTTCCAGCTATGTTAGTTAGGTCTCTGTGACCATGAGTAATAACAGGATTTGGGAAACCTCTTAGATGCATCTTTCTTTGTGTGAGCTGATCAAATGAAACACATGTGGAAGAACAGCCTGCTGCTGTGTCCAGCCAGTCGTTCTGAGCCGCATTCTGTAGTAAAACTTGGGTTTGTTTTCTTGCAGCTCTCTGGAGTGGCGTTCAGTGAGCCCATCAGAGCAGAGACGCCTGTCTCAGGCAGCACGGGATGATGGGGAGTTCTGGTAAGCCATGGGGTTTTAAAGTGTGTGGATCTAGTCAGAAATCATGGTGCAAGTGACCAATAAGGAAAGTATCTGTGTGAGAAAATGCTCAGTTTCCGCCTAGGAGAGGCAGGTAGAATAATAACTTGGTTTTTTGTGTATTTCATGCATGCCCGTGTCTATTTTAATAACAAAAGGCATTTTAAAAGTCAGCTTAGTTAATGGCATTATCATATTTCAAATACTGTGTGTCTCCCTTTGATGTAACACCCTTTAAGTCCTTCCCATGAATAAAGGCAAGCTCTACAGGAAGGAGCATTGTATTGCACTCTATCACCTTTGAAATGCCTTCAGGGGTGATGCTAGTCCTACACTGGAAGGGAAGGGAGTCCTGAGGAGCAATGCTACTTGTTACAGAAAGTAAAAGAACACAAAGTTATGTGTGAAATGATGGAAAATTTGAAGAAAAGATGAAATTAAAAGAGAAAAAAAAAAAAGTGGTGAAAATTGCTTTAGAAGTGTGAATTGCTCCTCATGCCAAATTCACAATCTCAGACAGAGCAGATGGCTGACTTGCACATGATGTCTTGTCCCCCCCCCCATATCAACCATGCTGTGCACTTCTGACAATGTGTCTAATCACATTTTCTAAGGCGAAATGCTCATCTCTTTTACATAGAGGTAAATCCAGAGAGCTATGCAGAGGGCTATTCCAGATTTTTCATGCAAGTTAATCCAAAGTTCAACTTTAGGCCCAAAAAATGATTTATGATAGACAATGCAGCAGGTTAAGCCACATTAAATGATTTATCCCCAGTTTTGATAGCTCTGGAGGGAAGACAGTCTAGTGGCTGATCCATTACTTAAATATTTTTACTTAGGCTATTTTGAGTTATTTTGCTATTGACATTGCAAATGAAATAGGGCATTAGCAGCTTTTCCAAAAAGATTTTGTGTTTGGTTTGGATTTCTTTGTCTGTGTTTGACCTGTCTACAGCTGGAACTTATGAGGTGAAAGAAAAGGAGTCAAAGACTTTACGCAGAACCCAAGCAACTTCAGCAAGTCCGTGCAGGGCATGACTTACAGCCTGGCTGTGTAATGGAGGTGCAAACGTGCTAGTAGGCATCAAATGAGTAATGAAATACATTAAAAAGTCTGTCCAACAGAGCTAAGCTGAGAGTTAAGTAAGTCCCCTGGGGAGGCAAATAAAAATTAATGAGGCTGAGCATACCCAGACAAATGTTGACCTTCCTCATCCAGCATCTCAGTCATTCAGAGCAGAAACAAAAGCCCCTGGACAGAAATTTCTGCTGAAGGGGTTAAGTAGAGAAAAATTATATGCAGAAGATAAGAAATGCTTCCAAAACCAGTCAGGCAAGTTTGATACCAGCTAAACCTCCACCCAGTCCATCAGGCTTATTTTTCCTAATACCTTTTGACTTCTGTGTATTTCTCTGAGGAGTGTTTGTCTCTTTGCCCCCCTCTAAGCCACACCTTGATAGTTTCCCTATTAGGCTTCACATACAGACTTTGCGTGAGCGGTAATGTGATATATCCATAAAGACATTAAAATGATCTGGTGAGCTACACCGAGGGCTAGCTGGGTCCTATCGGCTACTGTTGCAAATAAAAATGCAGTCCTGGAGAGCTTTTGCTCTCCTGCTACCCCATTCTGTTGTTAGGCATTGGCTACTGGAGGAAAAAGATGGGTGTTAAAATTTGTGTTAGGGAGGAGATCAGTTTCTGTACATTATTTCATGGTCCATGGAAAGAGAGGGCTAGAGGACACATCTGGATGCTAAATTGCCCTCAAAAAGGCCTAATACCTCTGCTTTTTTACAGAGTGGATTTCAGCCTACCAAGGCTACCTTCAGTTTAGAGCATCAGTGGGCCTCCTGTCCTTGCAGTGCCCACCATGCAAACTGCTGTCTCTTAGCTTTCCTGCTCTGTTCCATTTGTCCAGGGATGCATACCATGGCCAGTGGTGCCTGGCTCTGTCTGCCCCTTCTCCTGGCTGTTTGCTCAGTCCTGAACACAAGGCTCCTTGTCCAGCAGGGCTGTTGGTATCTTATTGACCTTTTACTTGGTAGATAAAATCACATGGCTTATCTGCTGCTCAGCATGCTGAGCAGTCTAGTTTCAACCAGCCCAGCCTAACAGCTCAAAAACATCTGTCTTGTGGCATTTTTTTCCTCCTTCCCATGGCCAAGTATAGGTGTCCACGTTGGGTATAAAATATATGCAATGCAACATAAAACCGTTCTGATTCTATGTGACACAGTAGCAGGCAGCAGTGTTTCTATACCACCTTAAAGGGCAGGTAGGAGCCACTACTCAAGTCCAAACGTCCTTTTTGCCTCTCATGTTTGGTGTATGTTTTTTGCTAGCATAGGATCCTAGGCACTCATAAAGGAGGGGAGGGTGAGCAGTTTGAAACTAGGCACCTTAGCAGAGGCCCAAGTGTGACTTTAGTTGAAGTACCATGGCTAATCTATTACCATGTGTTCCCTGTAGTGCTGTCATGTGGCTGGCACTGGATGCTTTGTAGGTAGGTTTAGCTCCTGCACAGGTGCCTGCCTTACTTTGGTAGGCTTTTTGGCAATATAGGTGCAGCCATTAAGGCCAGGATGGTGTCTTTCCATCACAGATTTTGTGCCAATGTCACTTTTGTTCATCTTATGCTCAATGGTAACTGAATAAGATCAATAGAATTATAGTGTAAAAAGAAAGGTATTAAGAGGTGTCAGAATGAGACCCAGACAGTAAGGTTGCTTATGGTTTACACCACAGCATATCTCCATGGTCACTGAAACTATTCAGATCCACACAAGCTGGTGAACTGGCCCTCAGATTCCAGGGTGTAAGTGTCCTGGGCATCCTTCACTGAAGTGAATGACTGCCTGTTCCTTCCCATATCTTTTGCTCAGGATGAAATTTGAAGACTTCAAAGTGCATTTTGATAAAGTTGAGATCTGCAACCTGACTCCAGATGCCCTGGAAGACAGCACTGCGCACAAGTGGGAGGTGACCATCCACCAGGGGAGCTGGGTCCGGGGATCCACTGCAGGAGGATGTAGAAATTTCCTAGGTGAATAGATACTGCTTTGAAAACAAGAAGCCAGCACTGAAGTCTTTACCCACTCTTAGCCACCTTTCCTGTTACCCCACAGCAAGAATTGTGGGTGCAGGCCAGGCCAGCTGATGCTCAGCTGGCAGGAACCAGCCAAAAGGACGAATGTCCATATGGTCCCACTTGAGAGTTTGCAGTGTAAGAACTGCTTTCTTTGCTCTCAAGTTCACTGGATCTGATTTGCCTCTTCTTTACATTTGCATGAGCAGGACTAGCTCCAAATAAGTCCCTTAAATTGCAGCAGTAAGTGTAAAATGAGAAAAAAATCCAACTCAGCCAGCATGTTTATGTGGCTCTGAAGTAGCAGCATGGACCTGAAATGTATTACTCCAGATTGGCACCAGCACTATGGGATCATTGTAATACTCTACTTTTAACAAAATCCCATCTGACAACTTTATTTAAACCACAGTAACTTAATAAATATCAGGCCTAAAATCTTTTCTACACCTAGTTCCATGAAGGACTAGAATTTGGCTTATTTTCTGCAGAGCTTAGTGGAAAGAAGCATGACAGGGAATGGAAAACTAAATTTGAGCAAAACCTCAGCTTAATTGCCCTTTTTGTCTTCTTTTATTTTTTCTTTTAGTAATAGTAGTGGTGGTATTATTATTCTGAGGCAAGGAACTCTCTGGTGTTCTTTACATTGGCAGACACTTTCTGGACAAACCCACAAATCAAGCTGCATTTGACAGAAAAAGACGATGGACAAGATGAGTGTACATTCATAGCGGCGCTGATGCAGAAGGATCGCCGTAAACTCAAGAAGCTTGGCGCTGAAATGCTAACCATAGGCTACTCTATTTATGAGGTACTTTATTGCTTTTAAAGTGCAGTAGCTGCACTATCAGTATTAGCATCTTTCTTTGGGTTTGTACCCCTGCCAGCTATTATGTATTTTTAGGGTCCTTGCTCATGAAATAATCTTCTCGTTACATCAAGCCCCACAGAGTATTTTACATGGTTGGGATAATGCCCTCTCAGAGAAGGATTTAGGAGTCCCTACGGGGCCGTGGGTTCCCAGGGTAGACTCCTTGGCCCCATGATTCTGTCATCCTCTGCCTGGTTCTTAAAGAGGGGTGTTGCTTCTTATGAGCCTCTTGGGGTGCAGGAGTGCCTGTCCCCCAAGTGAGGCTGGAATTGGCAAAACTGTTGTCACTGCTCCGTGACATCCTGCCTTGGATTGTGGCACTTAATGGCAGGGAATATTTCAGCAGGAAGACAGCATCCCAGAATCCTATTAGACTGCCTTCTGGGTGGGAAAGGACCACAAGCAGTGGGTCTTTGCCATGAGGTAGGAGCTGGGCTGCTGCAAGCACCTGGATGAAGGGATGAGAGTCAGGATCCGGGTGAGAGGCTTGTACCAGCCAGAGTTTGGCTGTGTGATTGGGAAAGGGGCAAGGATGGCCCATGCACACACTGGGTAGTGCAGCACTGCCTTTGTTTGCCCTTCTAGAGCCCTGGCAGAGATGGACACTTGGGCAAAGACTTCTTCAGGTACCACCCCTCCAAGGCCAGGAGCAAAACATACATTAATTTAAGGGAAGTGTCTAACAGATTCAAGCTGCCACCAGGAGATTACATTCTTGTTCCAACCACGTTTGAGCCACACCAGGAGGCAGATTTCTGCCTGAGGATTTTCTCTGAGAAGAAAGCCATCACTGAGTAAGTCAGATGTGAGCCCTGTGCCCTCCAGTATTCAGCTGCATGTCAGGCTGGTTGCTGCTGGGGAGAGCCTGGCTGCTGGACACCCAGCCCTAGAGCAGAGCCCTGGTATGGAAAGCTCCTGCCCATTTTTGCTAAACCTGACACTTCTTTTGGAGAGGAGTTTAGCAGGTGGTGAAATAGAGCTTGCCATGGTGAGCCCGCTAGAAGCTTGGCAAGTAAGAGTTGCTAGCTACTTGATAATGTTCAGAACTCTGTGAATGCAGCAGTGTTTGTTTCCTGCTCGTTTCCTCCCTGAGTTTGCCTGAATTACAATTCTGTACTAAAAAAGGGTATTGAGGAAAAAGTGTGTGCACAACGAAGAAAGAATGAGATGAATTCTTTAGCAGGCAGCATGCACAGCTGTGCCCTCCCTGAGCCTTGCTTCAAGTCTGGTTGTAGGGGCTCACACCAAAATCCAAACAGTGCAAAATTGTGATTGTCAGGTGAATTTTAGCTAAACTTAACCTGTTCAATAAAAAATACAGTTTTATCATTCATCTCTGGAAAATGTAATGAGCAAGATTCCACCCCAAGCAGATGTTGAATATCTTCAGATACTCAATAAAGTTTTGTTTTCTCTAGGGATCTAGATCAGAACGTTGCCATTGATCTCCCTGAGGTAAGCCTACTGGGTTAAAGTAGAAAGAGAATAGCTCAGCAGAATCCAGCACACACTTCTTTTACTGTCTTTGGCTAAAACACGTTCATTTCACAGGAACGTTATACGAGTGCCAGCTTTGTGTATGTGACTGAAACAGCCAGTTCTGCTGAATATGGTAAAAGAGCTGTAACAATCAAAATCATAATCATTGTGCTTCTGTATCCACTTGAAGGCAGTCAGCATCAGCTGGCGACAGAGTGTATCAGCCACCATGGGTGCAGTGAAAACACACCTGGTAGCAGCAGGGAGGCACACGGCCATTCACGTCTTTAAAATTTGATTTATAATGAAAAAAAAAGAAGAAGCAAGAGAATGCCAACAGACCTACATTAGTTTTGCATACAAATGACTTCATTTTACTTATCAATATCTGCAGGGCTTGGGAGGGAACACTAGGCACATGTGTGTGCCTATTGAAATGATTGAGTTCTTGTTTCTGAATGGCCTGGTCTGCCTGTTGAGCACTAATTGCATCTGAGTCTGAGTCAGCTCCTGTTTAAGTGTATCCCTGCAAATAAACTGTTAATTGTGGTGCGCCTTCCCATGGAAACAACCTAAGCCGAGACCTCATGTATCCTCCAAGGACCAGGTAACAAGTGTGTCTCTTTTCCTGGGTTCTCAGGACCACGTTCAGTAGCAAAGTCAATCAGTTCACCTGTCCCAGTATCATTAAGGGACTGCATACAAACTTGAGCAGAAATAAGTGAGGAACATCCCTGCCCATGTCAGGGGGGTTGAAACCAGATGATTTTAAGGTCCTTCCCAACCCTAACCATTCTATGATTCTAAAATACATACAGTCAAAAAAACTGTAAGTGGCCAAGCAGTGTCAGCACGGCCACTCTGGTGACATTACACTAGATAGCACCCATGTTGTATCTTCTGTGGGTAGGCAAAACAAAACACTACTCTTTGCTTCCTACACTGTGCTGTTGCCTTCTCTTTCCCCACTTTTTTGGCCCAAGAACTCTCTGTTCACATGGTCACCCCAACTATAGCAATGGTTCTGTACTATTTCATCTCTCTGGTCATCAGTGTAGACTGAAGCCTGGTCTCTACACCTCTGAGACTGCATGGAGGCACTCAGCTGCCAGCCAGCTGAAAGCATTTCCAGGCTTAGGATGGTGCTGAGTAATACGCCAAAGCACAGCCACCTCTGGCTGGTGCTCTAAAGAATGACAAGAGATCCTTGAATGATGTTGCTGGAAAGAGCTTGGTATAGCTGCGGTTGCTTAAGGACTAGGGAATCAGAGTGGTGCATGGGTGGGATGTGAGAAAAGCTGTTTGCCAGGATGGGTGCTCTTGATTTTGACATAGCAAAGGCAATGGCAGACTACACAACCACCCAGGAAAAGGAAATGGGGGAGTGAGACTCCCCTTGGGCAGCTAGATGGTTGGGTGGCCTCCAGTCTGCCAATGTTCAGGAGTATGTGTACCCTTATTTTAACATGTACTCTGGTTCTCTGGTGCACATAGGGGCTATATGCAGGACAAATGTAATGGTTTACAATTCATCTAATGACTTCTGTGGTTGATGTTGCAGCCCATAACCTCAACCCCAAACCCAGAAGAAACTGAAGAAGAGAAGCTTTTCAAGGCACTGTTTGAGCAGATTTCAGGAAAGGTGAGTGCAAAACCTTTGTGGGTCATAGTGGGATATGGAAAGGGGTGAGACACTTCTGCGGGCCAGGTGAAACGTTTTTTGGGAGTATGCTTAGTTGTAGTGTGTTGTTTGAGCACCAGATGTCACCATGCCTTAGGTCTAGTTGGAGAAGGGTGTAGCTGCTGGTGAGCAAGCAGGAGGACCAAAGGGAACTCAAGGTCTGAGGGAGCTTATTTACTTCAGTGTCCAAGTGCAGTTTACTTTCTCTGAATCAGTGGTTCCCACTGGAGATCTCCTTCAGATAGACTTATGCACAGCAGCCCTTTAGTTTTCAGCCTTTTCTGGGTTTTGTATGGTTCTCTTTTCCTGAGTTGCAATAAAGTACAGATGGGTGATGTTTGTGTTTTTTTGAGGGTTTTGGTATGTTTGATTACAGAAATATTCAAGTAACAGATGCTATACTTCTTTTTTTCTTTATTTTACTGTAGGACATGGAGATATCTGCAGAAGAACTTGAATGTGTTCTGAATGCTGTATTAAAAAGAAGTAAGTGCTGATATCCTCTGAGGTAAGCGGTGTAAAGAACTTTATAAAAGCTGCCATTAAATGCATTTACAGACAGGCTGTGTTATGACTCCTGCTTGATGTCCTCTAGCCAGCTGTGCAGAGCCAGGAAAACATCTGGTCTGTGATCTAAACATGACCTCGCCCTGCCTCCAGCATGAGGACTAAGAGGCAGCTATGCCCACTTACGAAATCCTATTTTCTACTTTCAGTTTATAGAAGGCAGATTTACCCAATGGCTTCTTTCTTATTGTGCTTTTTCAGCAAAAAACATCAGATTCAAGAACTTAAGTCTCATTTCATGCCGAAATATCATTTCTCTGACGGATGTATCCTTTCGAATAAGTGCTTGTGAGGCTAATTGAATGCTGAATATAATTCCCCATAGGGTTACCTGTTATGGATATCAGCAATGAATGTAGTAACGTCATGGCAGAACACCACCCAAAGAAAAAAATAATACATGAAAGTTGTATACTGATTTTTATTATAGAAATTTAGGGTTAGGGCCTTCAAGACAGACTATTTTCTACTGCAGACTTAGAGGCAGATGCTTTAATGCTGAGCACTTTTAAAAGTAATTCTCTAATTACTTCCATATAGACCAGTGCATTTTTCAAGCAGTGGTTTATTTGAAAAAGGCCTACAAGAGATAACTCAAGAAAAGTCTGTTTTCTGGAGGGTTAAGTTCACCAGGCAGGGTTGTGCCTGCAAGTTATGGGTCACAAATTAAGGACCAGCAGAGTGTTGAAAATTGCTGATATCAAAGCTGTGGGGGGTTTTGACAGCCAGACTAATAGCTGGAAAATCTGGTCTTACAGCTAGATCCTGGAACTCCAGGAAGCAGACATGTGGGTGAAAAGTTTGTCCAAATTTAGTCATTTGTGGTGTAGGTGTCTACATCTAAGCCAGCTTTCTAGACTTCCTTTATAGATAGTGAAAAAGATGGTTTAATTATGCTTGTTCTGGATGCGCCTGACTGTGAGGAATGCTAAGTAACTGCTCAGACATTAGGTGAGATGAATCATAGCCCTGGTACTTCCCCGCCAGCTTCATCCTTTGCAACATTCTGGTGCCTGTAGAGTTTGCTTAGCATGGCTTCTCCTCAGGTAGGCCTGTTTTTCACAGCATGCTTTCTTGATAGACAATTTTGTTACATGTGAGACAGAACAGATACTGTCCTAACAAGGCAAGTATCTAACATTTGCTTTATGTCTTGCTTGTTCAGCTGAGAAGTTCTTATCTTTTGCTTTATTTGTTGTAGTCCGTAACAGAGGTAACATCCTCTCAAACACTAGGACAGAAAACCAAAACAGACAAAACTTTGTCCTGTTAAAGCAATATCCATAATGTTTAAATTTAGTGCAGATCAGTCACCATGCAGATACAGTGAGAAACAGGGCACCAGTCCTGAATTTCCTCCCTTAAGAGCCAAGCTTCAACAGGGAGCTGGTCCATGTTCACATCTCATCCTTACATGGTATTGGGACAGAGCCAGGGTCTGCACTTGACACAGGAGCATGGCAGCATTCCTAGGTTTACTATTTAGGCTATAACTAAATAGTTTCCATTATTTGCAATGCTTCCAAGCAAATCTCTGCATAGTTTTGAATAAATGGGGAAACATCTCTTCCTCTGCTTTAGCAGTACAAGGAACACAGACACAACCATCACACTCTGGACATGGTATTTGGAGTACACGGAGGAACAAAATTACATGAATGCAAACCCAAGTCAGCACTGGCAGAGTCCCCTCCCAGTGCCACCAAGTTCCCCGGCCACTGTCACTATGCAGTCGCACAAAGTGAGGGCAAAGTTCTACATGACCTCAGGAAGAAGAACCTGGCTGGGTAAATTGACAGTGACTTTTTGCAGGAGCAGTAATGTCCTCGGGTTCCAAGTGCACCAATAATGTCACCATTGAAGGTGCTAAAATAATGACAGACATTATCTTGACCCCACTTGGCATGTTTTTACCTTTATGAATCCTCACTATGCTAGTGTCCATCTGAGCAAGGGCTTTGTCTTGGCAAGTAAGATGGAAAGCGGAAGCGGAATGGGCCCATTCCTTATTTAGCATTTCAGAGCAAGTGCTCCATCATGCAAGCGAGCTGTGCTTGGGCAACATCAGCAACTCAGTGAAATAAGTATTTAAAGACCCTTATATTTCAGGCAGAGGGAAGGACAGGCTGATCTAAACACTGCCTCTCAGAAATGCTATGCAGACTCTATTTTTCAGACCATGAGAACCCATATTTTGCCAGCCTCACCCCACAACGCCCATTAATTTTTGGTTAAGCCATTGCAACAGAGCTTGGTCTCTAGGTAAAAATACTGAATAGCACATCAGTTGACTAACTAACTCCTCTGAGTACAGTAGCAATTTGTTTTAATCAGGTAATTTAATTCTCTGAACCATTTATATCCCATTTACATCCAAAGCTGTTCCTGCCTCAGAACAATCTGTCTTTCTTTCTCCTGTGGAGCCTGCATTGCTCAGCTGTGTTTTTATATCACATAATGTTCCCCAAGTATCACAGCCACAGCCATGACTGTAACTGCTCAAGCTGCACCTCATGAGAAATCCCGATATGGGTTTCAGTGGCACCGTAGGCATTCCAGGCAACTTCACATTTTCTGCTTAAAGGAACAGTGCTTATAAATTCAGGCAGAATTTGCACCTTTAGGTAGAGAATCCTTTTCCTTAATTCAGATTGCCAGACCAATGGCAACGGGAAACTGGAATTTAATGAGTTCAAAGTTTTCTGGGAAAAAATGAAGAAATGGATAGTAGGTGACATTATTCGCTGTGTTTGTTTCTCCATTTCATTAGCTATTTCCTGCATAGTTTATTATGTATGTGCAGACAAAAGTGGAAACAGGAATGTTTACAAGCCACGAATTTTAACTCAAAACAAATGCTCTAAAAGCATGGGGGCTTGTTTTGGATAGTCAAAGACATTCTTAGCTTTCCATGATGCTAAACCATACTGGTTTTCTGGAAATAACAGAGATTCTTGTAAGCAAATCAACTATGTTTGGATAAAGAATGCAAAGGACACTAATAAACAAGCCTATCAAAATTAAACTTAAGGCATTTCCATTACTGCTGTTGTACAGAAGTAGAAAGTGATGATTCATAACTAGTAGGAAGCAATAATTCCCTATGTCACTGCATTTCCTTTATTGATCTCTCAGGAGTCAACTGTACGGAGGCCTGGGAAAGTGTTGATTCTAAATTTAAACACATTTCCCTGCCACTGTATATGGCAGTAAGAATAAACAGGCTTGCAGAATCAGGCCACAGACTGAATATTCAAATACAGGGAACATAATTGTTTCCTTATGGTCATAAATAGCTTCTTCTGAATTCGTGCTTCACCCAAGCATTCAAGATATGCAGTTCCCTGCTTCTTGTCTAGCCCATCAAAAATGGCAAATGCTTTTTTTGGGTACTAATGCCACATTTAACAAAGCATGCATTATTCTTTAACAAGGGGGTTGAGAAATCCTTCTTATCTTATTGGAAGATTTGCACGTATGTTTGCTGGATAAATTTAAGATGAAGGTGATGACAGCTCTAAATACATCCCAAGGGTAGCTGAGTTTGTCATCTCATTAAAAAGATGGAATTTAACTCTAGTTTAATAATTATTTAATATTTAGGTCTGAATGTTTGTACCAGCTCTCTTGGTTGTACCATGAATGTGGCTGCTTGGATCTTTTGTACCTAGCAGCAAATGGGCAAGTTACAGTCTTAAGTTCATGTTAAACCAATTGCCTCTACCCCTCAGAATTATAGAGAAAAACATAACAAGAGATTAAGAGGATGCATCAGTTAAAGAATTAAAAGACAAAGAGCAATACATCCTACCCAGAAAAAAATCACCTTTTGAAAAATCATGGAGTTTTTTACAAAAAGCACCTTGTTATTTTGAATACGTGGGTTTGGCAGTACTTGGTTGAAGTTTCACAACAACCTATTCATATGACAAAGAGAACTGCGACCTAGATTTGTTCCTCAGTTACAAAATCAGACTTGATCTGGACCAAAGTTTTGTCAGCTTTCTTAAATGCTCAAGTTAGCAATAAAGACCTTGCTTTTCTGTGTCATATCCGTGCTCCCTTTCATATGCATAGAAACTTTCCATGTTCTCATTTTGTTATAGAATATCTTTCTTCAATTTGACTTTGATAAATCTGGGTCCATGTCCTCCTATGAGCTTCGCAGTGCACTTAAAGCTGCAGGTAAGGATAGCCCTGCATTTTATCTGGGAAACCTGTCAGGCACATTGGCTGTGGGTGAAGAGGGTTGCAATCAATCATGCTGGCCAGGTGCCCCTGAACAGAATGGAGGTTTAAATCCCAGAGAGGACTTGCACACCTAGAGAAGATATCAAGTAGACTAATTTTGCCCCAGGAATCTCCAGTCCTGCAGGGCAGTCAGTGAGAGCAGTCTTTATATTTTTCTTGAGCTCTGTTGAACTCAACAGGGCTGAACATGTGCAGGGTTAGACCCTGAAACAAGCAACTTCAGTGTCCATCTGCACTCAAGGGCTGCAGGAACAGTGAGTAAGCTGTTTGTTATGAAGAGCAGTCAGTGCATTTCACTGCAAATTATTTCTATTAAAGCACCTAGTTTTACAGAAATCCCTCCAAATTTCAGGGAGACAGAATGGTCCCTCATACATCAAAAAGCGCATGGACTAGAAACTGCAGTGACTGCAACATTTCTTGTTCAGAGTTTGTTATGCATTGCAAGCTTAAAGAATTCTGTGGTCAGATCGCTTTCAGGATGGCTGTGTGCCACTGAGTATCCTGCCATTAGCTGGTTTTCAAGATTAGTTAGTGGAGATCTGCAGATTCCTCCCTGGCCAGTGAGGTTGCTCACTTTTCCTTTGTGCGTGTGTCTTTGGGAAGGATACCAACTCAGCAACTACCTGCTGCAACTGATTGTCCTCCGATACTCTGATGAACAGTTCCAGATTGACTTTGATGATTTTCTGAACTGCTTAATTCGCTTAGAGAATGCAAGTCGTGAGTATCTTCTTCCTCTGGAATTTCTTTCCCTTTAAAAATAAAAACCCTAATGTTCCTCTTCTGGCTGTCGTTGAGCATATTGCACAATATCTGAGACCAAATCTGTACATGGCTAACAGAAAGGAGCTGTGTTTAGCATTTGCTGTTAGGATGGCTTTTCTCCTGTAAAGTGAAAAATGTTCTGTTGCTAATGGAAAATTTCCCTATGTGAATAGAGCCTGCTTCACAAACTGCAGCAACATAGAAGGCATGTGAAGAATGCTGGCAAAGTCCATGTTACAGCCTTTCTTGTGGCTCACCCATGAGCTTCATTTGGGATCACAGAAGTTCAAGGTTCAAATATTGCCTGTGCCTCATGCAAAGTGATAATTGGCATGTACTTGGATAGGTATATCCTGTACTTATCCACTTTTGGCAGGTGATATGGTTCCTCATACATTGAGCACCCTACACCCCAGTTCATTTGTGAGCAGGGTCACCCTCATTCCAGCAGTAGTAGAGATAGATTAAATGGCTGGATAAATGCTGAAGTGATCATTAGTGTGACTCCAAACTCAAATCATATGCAGCTCTCTCTATGAGAAGCAAAATCAACTTTCGTCACCAGTTTTTGTTGTTTTGTTCTTCTCTTTACTTTCTGTTTTGGTCTGTGGCAACAGAAGTATTAAGCTATTGAGAGAGAAAAATTAAATAAGATAAAGAAAAAAAATGCAAATTGATTGGCTTCATTTTTAGAGTATCATCCAAATGCTATGGTTTAGTATCCAGGACACCCTCTTCCAGTCAAGTCCTGAAGTGAGATATGCACAAGGGCTTTACGTCACCAAGGCATTTCCTCTTGCAAGGACTTTGTTTTGTCATAGCAGCTACCACCACCAAGCAATCCTAAGTGATTCGCCTCTGCGCCAGGCCCTCCCTCTCCTTGGCACAGCCACCCATCATTGTGGGATGGGGAGCTCATGTATGAATATGAATGAGGTGTATTTATAGCACTGGTGTCCTGTTTTTCATTTCAGGAGTATTCCAAGCTCTGAGTGTGAAAAACAAGGAGTATATTAACCTGAATATAGGCGAGGTATGAGCACAGCTTCATAAACATTGACAAAATGATGGGGCTTCTCTAGAGCATTTTCCTCTTGTAAGAACCAGAACATTTCTGCATGGCACTTCAGGTGACATCTGTGTCCATGAGAGTGCAGGGGGCATCTGCTATAGGTTTCAGCAGGGCTGGGATTTTACAGCACGCACACTGGTTACATCTCTTCCGTGGTATTGCCTTTCTTCCTTGCTCTGTGGCGTATTGACAACTGATCAACCTTTCAACATTCCCTGCTTTCTCCTTCCTCAGGTGCCAGCTCTCAGTGGGGGAAAGGGGAAGCTGCAGATGGAGATGGGAGGTCTTTCATTATCCCTGAATCCCCCAGGAGTGCAGAACAGTCTTGCCTGTGCATGTCCATCATCTGCTTCTCTCACCAGTCAGAACAGGCTTGTTTTCCTGTGCTCTCTTTGTCTCCCTGTCATATATGTGGGTTGTCTCTCATTAACACCAACTCAAAGCTTCCTGGGGCCAGGCACAACAAATTCTCTGACAAAACAATCATGGAAGCCCATGCAGACTGCTGGGATGCAAACAAAACCACTGCCATTATGGGCTTCTAGTGTTTGGAGAGCTCTTCCTCCTTCCCTCAAACCACAGAAGTAAATGCTGGCTGAAGTTTGTCCTTAGTGTCAGGACGTAAAAGCCTAGTGAGCAAAGGTACTCTTCTTTACATGGGGTCAATTCAAATCAAGGCAAAGCTTTTGAACATCTCTTTAATTTGGGGAAAGGAAGGGGGAAGAAAAGGGCCTGAAATCATTTATTGTAACGTTGATCTTTCTTCCAATCTTAGTTTATCAACCTGGCAATGAACATCTGAAGAAGTCTGACTTGGATGCCGGAAGCTTCTGGTGATATCGCTGCTGAGACTTCTGCCCCAAACAGCTGAGGTCCCCTTTGCATGCAGACTTCACCAGGAGATTTCATGAGGAGCAACATGCATTCTGTCCACCCTTTCTGGTCCCCAGCCCTCTTGAGGAGTTTAACAGTCAGATCATATTTTGGTTTTGGTAAAGCCTCATACTGGATTTAGTACTGTGAGTGGCATTTGGATGGGGCACACATGGCTCTCAAAGAGCCTGAAACTGATACCCCTGAGTGACCACAGGTTTTTACAAATTAGAATTGTGTTTATTTTCAGCACAGCGCAGACTATAGTCATTAAATGTCTTTATTGCTCCTTGGGTAGAGATTACTGTAAGGTGCTTTTGAAAATATAAGGTTGCATAAAACTTTGTTCCGTTTGGAATTCATTTCCAGCATGCTGTGTAGCTACACAAAAAGCCCCCTGTTACAGCCACCTGAACTGCAGCCTGGTGGACAAAGGAAGGCCACGGAATGTCTGGATTAAATTCAGCCTTGAGTATTTATGACAGAGGTCCTTGGTCCAAGCTTCCTTAGAAGGATGCTTAAGCTAAGGTTTGACATTCATCACAGATTTAGTTTAGAGAAAAAATCCTGCATTTCAATTTCTATCAGTCCTTTTCTGCTACCAACAAAGTTCCTCTGTTACACACCGGATCGTGTCCCTCAAGCCAGTTTCGGCAGCGTTGCACACAGCTTGCCTTCATCTTCAGAGGAACATGTGGCCCTGAAACAGGGATCTCTTGTGTTGAGCCATTTTGCTCCAGGCAGTCCAAGACTGTGTCCCACAACACATGCTCCAGAAGAGCAACTGTGATAATTTTAGATGAATTAAATGTGCTCATTGGTAAGGCCCTGATCTCTGCAGCTATTGCTGTTTTGCATTGCTATTTTGCATTTGTGACTTACATGGTATGATTCATGTGATGTGGGTAGCCAGTGCTGGCTTTAAAAATAACATTAATAGAAGTCAGGGACTTAAGAGGTCTTCATAGGATTTGTTTCCATGATTATCTTCACAACATATGTCTATTTTATAATGAATCAACTGTCTGGATTTGTTTTCTGAAACCTTCCTTGCAGTGACAGAGATGGCCCTAGAATAATCTTGCATTCCCTACTGTCCAGAATCATTGAGACAGCCAGGGGTTTGTTTTCTCTAGATTTAGACCTAATGAACGGTTCTGGAAGGAAGATCAAGCTGCAGGAAAGGTGAAGTTCAAACAATGAAAAACGCAGGGATCGTGATATTTAAAATAACCTCTTTCTTTTTTTCTAACAGTTATAATCCTCTTGTAACGATGCAGAAAATGCTCTGGAGCTGACTGGAAGCTGAGCTAAAGCTAATGGTTGCAGTATTTGATTAACTGAGGTACTCAGCCCCATGAGGTATATTGATTTTCAGATGTGCTGATTGTATGCCCTTTTGACAGCACTGGAGGCAGCTGTCTAAATTTGTGAAAGTTTGGATTAAAATCTAGACTGTTCTCTAAACATTCAGCCACATATTTGAAGCAAAAAAATCACAGATCCTTAATTGATTCATTGTGCAAGCTTAGACATGGATACAAATTTGTTGGAATACAGTATCATTCACAAGCTATGCAGAAGAAGAGATGTCTCAATGCCTGGCATCACCAGCGTAGCATTCTGTTCTCTTACACAGAGCTGGGAATGTCTTGGTGGAATCGGGATTGATATAAGACAGTGATGAATATTGAGGTGGGAGCAATGGAGCACAAGTAAAAATCTCTTCTGCATTTAAAAGGAAATTAATGCATTTAAGAAAAAAACACCCCGAGGTGTTTTCTGACCACTCGGAGCAGTTGCCTGCTGGCTGCATCACAAGGAATTTGAAAGCAAACATTTGAGTGCTTTACGAATCAAGCCTCTTTCCTGTCCAGCCAGCTCGCTGTGTAAACCCTGTCCTACCCTGGGGTTTACACAACATCCCATAGCCACAGCAGAGGTGCATGTAAGGGCAGTTAAGCACAAGAAAACCTTTACATATAACTGGGCTGGCCCATGACCACACAGACTCTACTGCAGCACAGTCCCTATCTCACCACTTTGGTTATAAGGATTTTGTGGCAGCTGTGATGAAAAGCCTTGCTAATATCAAGGTGAAGAACAGCAACTGCTCCCCCTTGTCCTATGCACTAGACTGTTTTCTTTCTGCATGGGAGTAAGACCCACCTTAAAAAGGCAAAAGTAACTGTAGAAACGCGTGTGAAAATGGATTAGTATATAATCCCTTGTTGGGGGGGGGTTGGTCTGCTATTATACTGCTCGTGTGAGTGACTGAGTGGGTGAGTGGGAGACATTTGACTTCACAGCCCCATCCAGATATGACAGTCCCCATCAGCACAGCACCCACCCAGTGTGTGAACAGGAAGCCAACTCAGTGCCCAGAAAAAGGGGTTTGGGCTTTCTGGTCTTTTCTTCTAATTAAGGATCTTGAATTTAAAGCAAGACCTTGCTGCCTTCTCTGAGTGAGATGTAGGTATGTTTGGCTCTGTACCATTACAGGAGCAATGGCAAATCACTTATAATGCTCTGAAAGCTGTGTGAGTGGTACATTCCCTGGTGTGGTACACACAGACCTTGTTAGCGAAATCTGGTTCGTGCTGGGAGCCCTGCCTGTCTGCTAATAGCACCATTAATGGGGAACATGAGAGGCATTTTTCATAATTATACTACTGGAAAGAAACTAAAAATCACTTAGCTACAGGGCTGCAATCTGAGCATGCTCTCCTCCTCCCTCACAGAACCACAAATCTGACTAAAACCTGATGCTAAAGCTTCAAGCCAGATGCTAGCAGGGGCTGTCTGCTGCTCTGGTACCTGTAGTCTCTCCTCTGCTCCCCTGCATCCTCTCAGCATCCTCAGCTCCCCAAGATATTGGGCAGTGCTCAGAGACATGGCACATTTCTGAGTTTAAAGGAACAACATCAGCTTAAAGCCTGAGCCTTTAGAGAAGGAATTAATTTGGTGTTTGTACCGAGCTCAGCCACCCCAACCACCCTGATGGTAAATCTGGCAATGACATTTTCCTGTCTTGAGGAAGGTTTCCTGCCCAACCTGCTGCTGAGGTCAGGAGGGATATAGTTAATGGAAACTACAGCGACAAGCTGCCATAAAGATGTAAAGAAACTGAAAAATAGTGAAAGAACATTCTGCTATTTCTCCATGCAAGCAGAGACAGAAACTGCCAGTAAACATCTTGGGCACAAGTATGAGCAGAAGTATCCCGTGCTGCTTCAAAAAGCTCCCAGGCAGGAGAGATGCTAGAAGTGATGTGGTGGTTCACCCCATTTGTAACAGCTGCAGTTGCTTCCAGTCGTGAAAACTAAATATTTGTGCATAGATACCGAGTTACCTAGGTCATTTTCATTTCAACTGCATCATGTCCCCACTTCTCCCCCACCTCTCCCCTGAAATACTTGAGTCTTTGTGCTTTTTGCCTCATGGCAGCGTCTGGTTTGGAAGCACATCAGAGTGCTGAGGGCAGTTTATACTGTTCCCAGTAAGGCTGGAACTTCAACATTTTAAGAATTAATTACAAATACTTGCTGATTGAGGTAAACACACAACTGCAACGCAACTGCCAACAACTATCTTTTGCACGTCAGCCACTTATAAGGGCAACTGTGCTATAAACTGCGCTCCGAAAAACCCTGATTAATTTTTATCCCTTGCCCTCTGCTTGCCCCTTCAAGGGAAGTCAGCTCCTCTGTGCAGGGTTTGGACTCCAGGGTAGCCTGGATGCCTCTTTGAGTATTATCCACAGAGGCAGAGGAGTCAAGCAGGACAAGAACAGCAGCACGCACTAGTCACTGGCCCAAGAATATATAGCCTTAACTTCTGATTGCCATTTTTTTCTTTGTATTTATTTAAAACGCCCTGAACCAAAGTAAGACAGTGTATTCATCTCCATCTCCTCCAGACACAGAGCCAGGAATGGTGAATATTTTCCATTTCAGGTATTTGACAAGAATACTCCAAATGTATTGTTTTGATGGTCTTTCAGAGAGGAAAAAGCATTTATCCACTCAGATCCAACAAGGCATTGTGATCAAGAGTGTCCATGTTTCATCTGCCCCTGGGGTACCAGCAGCTCTGCAGGCAGTCTGGAGGAGGGGAGCTGCCTGCATGCCTTGCCTGCAATGCAGTGTGTGCCATGCCTGAGGGCCAAATTCCCTTGCTCCTTTGGGACAGCCCACAGAGGGGAACAGGGACAGGGATGGGGATGAGAGTCCCCCCATGAGCGCCACATGGCCACCTCTCCTGGCTGACAGCCCCCCCCGGACATAGCCCAGCCCCTGCCCTGGTAGGGAGGGCACTGCCAACATATTGTGACAATTTTATCCAGTTGCTAAGCAGCTGGGTCCCGGGACACAAATACAGTGAAAACAAGCTGTCCCAAGGGAAAACGGCTGCTCCGGGAGGGCAGGCCTGGCCCTAGACCTGTGTCTGCCTCTCCTCTCCTCTCTCAGGCACATGGTTTCATGGGGCTGTGCCAGCGTCTGCCCCAGTTAACCGAGCACTGGTGGTTGCATGTGCAAGGCTTTCGGAAGGGGCTCTGGTCCAAGCTGAGTTGTCTCCTCAAGGAGCTGTTAGCCCATGACTGCTCACAGAAGGCTGAGGGAGCAGATCCAGCTCCTCCAGTCCCTTCAGCTGTGGCCGTGTCTATAGAAGGCAACACTAAGCACCGCTGGGACCAGATAGCAAAGCCATGTCCAGCTCTGCAGCCCAGCACTCAGGGCACCCGCTCCTCGGTTTCAGCAGTTTCTGCTGCTCTTGGGTTAAGGGTGTTATGGCAAGTGTGCTTGTATGAACAGCAGGACCATGAAACCATACTTCTAAATACTTGCATACCGCCTCTTCCACCCCTGAACTCTCAAAGGTCTACCTTGTTTCAGTGCAAAGCATAGTATCCCCCAACACAGGGAGCTGAGAAGACCCCTACCACCACATCATGGTGTCTCATATCCCGGTGGTTAGAGCAGAAACAGGAGATCCAGGCTCAAAACCCTCAAGCAATTCAAATTACATTTGCCTTTCTCCAGTCTGCTCTAGTTGTTAGACACTCACCTTTTCTGCATCAGTGTAAGAGCCATATCGAAGGCTGTCTGCCATCCAGGAGTTAATCTACAGGACCTTTAGAAGGAGGCATCCTTTCCATGCAGCATGCAAGAATGGGAAGTGTCACACCTCAGAGGGCATCTGGGGACACAACAGTGTAGCAAACCCATTTATTGTACAAGGGGGCACCAACACAAGTCTTCAGGGATGCAGCCACACAATGCCCTTGGTCATCCAGCAGCAGGCTGCCAGAACGGGCATCTCAGCATCTGCTCTAGCTTGAAAACAGATTATCTGGGGCCACAGAGAGTGGATTTATCATGGCTGATCCCAT